AGAGAGAGAGAGAGAGAAAGAGAGAGAAGCTTATTATAATGATCACACACAAAATAAGCACCATGCAGTATTTTCTTAGATAAAGCTCATTTCTAAGGTGGAGGTCACCAGGAAGTAAAAAAAGCTATCCTGGTCAGAGATAAGTGGATTTTTAACAGAACAGCTCAGGGAGCAGTGAGGATGTGTGAATGGTCCTGCAATGTAAACCAAAAAAATTAATTAAAAAAAAAGAGCGCAAAGACAGCAAAGGCAGGGTGATGTCAGAGAGTGAGCAGGTGGCTGTGTGCATACGTAACCTCAAAGAATGTCATGCCCAAAACAGATTGTTCCTCTGCTCAGCCGGCTCTTCTGTAACAAAGACCCGTGGCTTTGCAGCTCGCTAAACTACAGAAGTAAAAAGTTGGATAAACAAGGTTATGCTTAAATAAACTCATGATGTCTCGCTGCAAAAAGGCTCCTTTCATAAATATACTCCTAAGAAATTTAATTTCACCATTTTCCTCTTTGTAGTGCTGAATAAAACTGCAGTTTGTGTTAAAAAAACATAATCTATCTTTTAATTAAACATTTTTATTTTAAAACTGATCCTACTCTTCYTTTAAACTGACTCCTTGCTATCATCCAAGGTGTTTCAGTAGTACAAGTCAACAACGATGGCTCTAAAAACGCAAAGTCTCAAATCCAGGTCAGCCAGCAGAGGACATATCGGACTTTAGCTGCTCCGCCTTAAAGGTTAGAGGATCTGCAGCACTTCAGACTGACAAGACTGATCTATTCTATGTTTAACTCTGATTTATGCATCTTTTATTAAAGGCTTCCATTGTTAGTTAGCACTAAGGAGTCATTATGGACTTAAAGTCAGACGTGAAATGGTCCCAAAAGGATGCCGGAAAAAATAAAAGGCGGCACACTTCATCGTCAATCCATTACATAACTGTGTTTCTGCTCCACTAATCTGCAAACTGAACGGACAAAAGTCTCTGAAACGAGAGAATCCTGAGAGAATCGAACTGGCACTTTCAGTTCGGTCACATCTGGCACTTCATTGTTTGTCTTCTCTAAACACGCACGCACACACACACACACACACACACACACACACACACACACACACACACACACACAAAGAGAGAAAACACACTCTTCTTACCGTCATGTATCTCAAATGCCATGCTGGTAATCTTCTGTGTTATGACCATCATGGGCCTGACAAACAGAGACATGTTGCAACAAATATTAATCATTTGTTAAAACATTAAAAGGAACAAAATGTAGAAACTGTGTAAAATTTAAAGAAAACTATTAATTATTTATCTTTTTGTTCTGTTTTGCTTAAAGTCTTCATGCACACAGTTAGTTACTGACTTTTGGAGTTATTCAACAAGTTATTCACTCGACCTCCTCGCCGTAAGTTCGTTTACTTTTGTTTTGTATTACGTTACTCTACTAATGACCTTAAATGCCAATTTATTCCGTAATAACAGTAACACTACCAGCTGCTGCTGCAGCTTCGCAAAGGGAGGAAGTATCCTCCCAGATAATTACAGGCCTTTTTACTGTCTGCATCTTTTCTCACCATTATTTGTCTCTTTTCTCCTTAATCTGTAGTCTGACCTCTTCATTCTGACTCCACTAACTCATTCTCCATCAAAGCAGGACACGTGTGATATTCTGCGGGCTGATGTTTAAAACATGCAAGGTTCTTTTGTAAATGCACGCATCAGCAAGTTGCTGGACAGTTTTACGCGCGAAAACTGGGAGCGTCAAATTGAAATAAAAGGGTAAACTTATCATCTAAAACCAGGATGTGAGGTGATCTGCACTCGTGGCTTTAAGGATCAGGCTGACATTCAGAGCGGCACGTGAATTTGACATTTTCGAGGAAAACGGAGAGAAAAAAACGAAAGAGAGAAAAAAGGAGAGCAATGTTTGTCGTCACAGAGGCAGTACGGGTTTGCATTAGGTTGTTAGGCAACAGGCCACCCCCACCCTGCTGGGAGCGCAGGCTGTCTGAGTCGTCAGACAGTCTGGAGGAGTTGAAACCAACCGACAGCATCTCTGGTCCCCATCAAKGTCTCTGCGTGTGAAGAGTCTTGTTTCTGTGTTGCCTCCCCCTCTACTCGTACTCGGAAATGTAGCACGTTTGTGCATCATTCAWGGGACTCAAAGCACATTTTTAGAAACATATCTGTGACGTAGGACGAGCTTACCCCGTGAAGTCTGCAGAGTACATGCCGTAGTCGAAGACGTAGACTCTGGTGATTTGACACAATATCAGATAACCCAGTGTCACAATGAAACAGTACCTGCACAGACAAGGAAAGACAGGGTTCATGCAGGTTTCACTAAGTTCAATTTAAGACCTTTGAAAGACCTTTTAAGACCAAACCAACGCATTAACAGAAACATTGAAATGGTCCCAGAAATTTTAATATAGAAAGATTATTTAATTTTAATAAAAGAAAGCTATATTATTTAAATGAAACAGTCATATCTATGAGATCTTCATATCGACTGCTGTAGACCGCTTCCAACGGGGGGGTTAAAGGCAAAGAGGTTGAAAACATGGAATAAACTATGCCGTTTTTTGCCTGCAGTTATCACGGGATTTGTAGTTTAATGTGTACAAAGGCCAGTAGCAAATTTAGCACTTCATGAAGACAGATTGCATAACCTCTGATTACGGCGCTTTACTCTGTTTATTTATGCAGCCAATATACGGAGCTAAATCGGGGTCATAAGTTTGTTCAAAATTTTAAAAAAAAAATTTTGAAACTGAAAAAGAGGAGATTTGAAAATGAAAATTTATTTTGAAACTGTAAAAAAAATTTGAAACTGAAAAATAACTTTGAAAAACAATTTTGAAACTGGAAAAATTAATTTGAAACTGAAAACAATTTATTTGAAACTGAAAAACAATGCATTAGAATCTGGAAAAGTTTCAAACATCTTGTCTTTTCAGTTTCAACTATTTTTTCAGTTTCAAATGATTTTTTTCAGTTTCAAACTTTTTCTTTTCAGTTTCAGACTTATGATCCTGATTTAGCGTGGAGGGGCGGGGTCTCGGATGACAGGCGGTGCGGAATCATGATTGACAGCTCAGCACGGGCTGGACAAGCTGTTGCATTCACGAACCATCAGCTACGAGTGTTCAAACCATCATCAAACAGAAATAAAAACACACAGTAGTTTCGAAAGACAAGATGTTTGAAACTTTTCCAGATACTAATGCATTGCTTTTCAGTTTCAATTTGTTTGTTTGTTTTTTTTTTCAGTTTCAAAATTATTTTTTCAGTTTCAAATCTCATTTTTTCAGTTTCAATTTTTTTATTTTTGAACAAAACTTATGACCCCAATTTAGCTCCATACTAACACTTCTCAGGAATGACCAAAAGTTTAAAAAAAATTAAGACTTGACAATTTTAAATTTAACACCCTGGATGAAAATCTGGGTGTTTAAGACTTTTTTAGGCCTAAAATTTAGCTTTTCAAATTTTAGACCTTTTTTTTTTTTACTTTTTAAGACCCTGCACGAACCCTGAAAAGAGACATTTCTGKTGTGAGTCTATCGCTTCATGAGATACTCTATGCTTGTGTCTGAATGGATCTGTTACCAGACATCGTCGCTTGCCATCGCTTTTTGGGCGGCAGGCGTCAAAGGAGCTCAACCAGCAGGAATAAGAAGACATTGTTCAGAGAAGACGACTCAGGACAACGTAGCCTTTTTATCAGGAAGGCCGAGGACAGAGACGTGCTGAGGTACAAAGCTGCTGCAGAGTCGACCCAAGTCAAAAAGCTAGCTAGATAACATCCCTTTTGCTGCACACAGTAACTCGATTGTGTCGTTCTGAGAAGGAAAACAGCTAATCATAGAAGCGGGACTGTGTTGGACAAAAGTCACAATGAAGCCTCTTGATTCTAACAGCTGAATGTATCGGACAAAGGCGAGGCATCACCTGATTTCAGCCGCTGAACGGTATAAAAATCATTAAATACCACACTCGTTACTCAGAAGTGCATATTTTTTAGAGCTCCACGTCCAAACACAAAAACACCAATATTCACAAAATCCAGAGAAAGAAATATAACCAGGAGATGATCTAATGTGCGCTGAGGTTTCTATGGCTGCATTCTGCCCACATTTGGAGTCTTCTCTGAGGGCATGATAGTTTCCAAAACATTTCTCATCATCCTGCCCAAAAAAAGAGACTACATGGCTTTTTGCAGCGATCCTATTTTCAGATCAACCAGAGAGCATTTATGGATCAATACAATATTGCTATACAAGAATCAAGCTGTGACCTTTTTGACCTTTGCCTTTAGCTGAGTCATCTTCCTCAGACGTTACTTTTCATTGCTTCCTGACATTTTCGAACAGCTGTTTAAAATGTTCCGACACATTTGGGGTTCGAATCTATACAATTCAGAAACACCTCATTTTAAAAGGGTAAAGGGTCCAATTATAGTTCAGTGGTGCATAAAACACACAACTGTACACATTTTCCCCACAATATAGATCCTGTTGCTGAATAAGTCTAAAGCACTCATCAGAAACTGTAGGGTACCTCAAGACTGAATATTTACAAAAAGAGTTTTGTCTTTTTTTGAAGTAGAAATAAAAAATATACAATATCCCAGGAACACAACTAAGCCAATCAAGTCAGTTTCCATGTAAAATACTATCAATCAAGAAAAGTATCTTAAAATGACAAAACATTTAACAGCTGTTCAATACAGTTCTTTAGGTAAGCAAATTTTATCAGGAGCTCCTTTTAAGATCACAAGGTGTTTCACATCAAAATAACAAAAAGACACCAAGCAAAAAGAAAATAAAATCTATTTCTCGTGTCTGTTGAATTTTTGTGAATAATTTCCATTTTTGTGGTAAGTTTTTTATTTTGGTTTGTTTGTTTGTATTTATTTTTTGTTTTTTAACAAGAGTAGCCAATTAGAAATCTTGATTTTTATTGGCCTGGAGAGGTAGGAGTGTCAGAAACGGTAGGAGGCTCTTAAAGAGACAGAAGCCATTTTCAAGGCATTTAGATTATTTTTGACATTTACAGTGTTTTCATAACAATTGAAGATAACATAGTTAATTGATTGTGGTATAGAACTGAACTACGTTCCTGGAAAATAATGACCCCCCTCCCCCCCATTTGCAAACTCCAGGTATCACAAAGCATGAGCTGTGCTATCTGCAGTGATCACAGCAAGGATTCTGTCATTTTAATAAAATAATAATAATAATAATAATAATAATAATAATAATAATAATAATAATAATAATAATAATAATAATAATAATAATAATAATAATAATAAATCCGACCAAGATTTGTGGTTGTGTACAGTAGACTTGCTTTGAGGAATGCTGCTTGGTCGCTCAAACGTCGGCACCGACTCAGATGGAAATTTCCATCTGGTGTCAATGGAGAGGCAAAAACGAACAAGCATGTCAGTGTCTTGTTCAGAGCCAGTACTCCTCAACAAAAAAAACAACATGAGAATTATTATAGCTCTGTTAAAACTGAAATATATTCTTAACTTAGTAGTTCCTTTGAGCTCTGCGTTGGCTGGAAATGTCTGTACGTACAGGATACACAAAACGACACCAATGAAGCTAATGCCAAAAATGAATATGTAACACGTTTTTTATGCTGAAGACTAAAATAATACAAAAGTTTGCATTTCCTGCAAAAAGGGGAATTGAAACAGACATTAGGCTTAGAGAACTAGGCAGTCAAGCTTGACACAAGTTATGTRCAAATGAAACCTACTTGTTTATCTTCACTATTTTCCAGGTAGGACTATTTTTCTACCAGTTTTGTTCTAAAAATGTGGTTCTTTTACATTCTAACCTACTGGTCCTACCACACCGGATCATTGTGCAGGCCTCTGTTTTGATCCCTGACATCAACCAGCAGGCAGTGCTGTGCTCACATGTCAAGAAGCAGAGAAGCATCTAGAACAGTTAGCCTTTGGGCATGCTGAGATAACTTGTAGGTCTGCTRGTACAGGAGAAATAACTGCTAAATAAAAGTAAAAGTAGTTTTATTTTTAAWATAAAAGTCTTTATGGTGTATTAAGTACTTATATAGGTTTTCTAAGACAAGTTTTTATTTCTATGTGACCCAGCGGCACATGCAACAGTACTGTCTGGCCCTTGGCCCCTGATCTAGTAGATTCCTGCTCTCCTCACCAGTTCTCACAGGTGAGCTGTGCACTGTGAGTAGTAATGAAATATGATGCCTCCAACTCGACAGAGCAGGTCTAATCAGTTTACAAGCAGGCTTAAGCTACATTCACTCCTTACAGCTTCGTAAAACTAGAAGATCGAGTAGTTGGGGAATAAAAACAGAAACATTATACCAACGTGACAGGAGAGTGGTGCATAAAATATAACGTTAGAGTTTGAAAAAAGTAGCAGGCAGATAAGACTGCAGAAAGAAGGTGTATCGTACAGCGATATGGAATGAGTTGATCTACCTGTGCAGTGAGTTTAAAAAGCAAATGTCTGAGGTTAAACTCTGGATTACGTGTATGTTCAAAGGGTCAAAGCACGCACCAGCGGTTAAATCTCAACCTGTTGGTGCAGGAAGTAATTTGTTATGCAAAAATATGGGGCAGGGGGTTCAACGGCCTCAGCAAACATCGTGTCAGAGTGTCCCTGTCACTGGTCCTGTCCTGGAGCTGCACCTTCATCTCAGGCGCTGGACACACTTCAGAAGCAAAGACTGGGTTTTGCGTCCATTTTGAGCTTTTCTTCTTTAAGTGCCACAACAGGACAAAACAGAACTATCTTATAGATCTCCTAAATGTAGAGAGAAAAAAAAACTAGAAACTAAAGATCGTAACGTTATGAAATTTAAACTTTAAAATAAATGCAAAGCAAAACATTGCCTGAAGTCAAAACGTCGCCCAGTTGTCATTTTAATTCCATCACTGAATTATAAATCCTCTCTTTCTGAGAACAGCTGCTGTTGTGATTAACGTGGGCTTTGCATCTATTTAGAGCTCCTTCCTCTGAGGCAAACTAACACACTTATAGTCAAAACAACACATGTGGTGAATTGAGAATGAGTGTGTATGTGTTCATGGTAGAGCTGGGTGATATGATCAAAATTTTATATCACGGTATTTTCAACATTTTCACCGGTTTCATGGTATTTGACGTTATTTTTCTTTTCAT